GCTACTCAATTCCTTCTAATAACCATCCCTCTATTTTGGCTTCATTTGACATATTTTGTCCCTATCAATCATATCCTTTCCCCATGAATAGTTCTAACTGTATATATCCGCCCTTCATTGACTTTAATGGCCTCTTAATTAATTTAAAATCATGTCAATTTTCTTTTTCTACTGGCCCCGATATGGTTCCCAGTGCTGTTCTTAAACTTTGTGCAGATTCTCTCTGTGTGTCCCTCCTAAAACTGTTTAACCTACATATCTCTCGAGCTGGGCGATTTTCCTACCGTCTGGAATGAGTCATATATTATTCCCATTCATAAAAAGGGTTTCATGTTTCTAATTACCGTGGGATTTCCCATTTATCTGCAATTCCCAAACTCTTCGAAATGAAAAATGATAACTTCCCAGCTCCAACACTTTGGTTCTTCCTTATTCTCTGATTTGCAGCACGGTTTTGTGAAACGTCGATCTATTTCTTCTAACCTCCTTTTCCTGGGTGTACGACCATCGAGCCGGCAGACACCCCAAGTGAAGGCCCGGAAACCTCGATGGGGCACATCCTCACAAAACGGAATATTACCTGGGCAGTAAACAGCTTTAAATCCTACAAATCGCCTGGCCCGGACCAAGTCATTCCGGCTCAGTTGCAAAAAGCCGGGGAGATGGCCATCAACTGGCTGCAAAGTATCTTCAGGAAGATACTGACAGTGGGAAAAATCCCCCGAGCTTGGCTAAAGGCTAAAATAGTCTTTATCGCCAAAGCAGGGAAACCCTCACACACAACCCCAAAAGACTTCAGACCAATAAGTCTATCGTCCTTTCTTCTCAAAACCTTTGAGAGACTAGTCGGGCTGCAGCTGAGGACAACTATAAATCCTCAGTGGCTGTCAGGCGCTCAACATGCCTACCGAAAAGGAAAATCCACGGAAACGGCACTCCATGAAGTAATCTCGGCGGTAGAGAAATCCCTACAAGTCAACGAATACTCCTTAATCGCTTTCCTAGACATTAAGGGAGCTTTTAACAACGTCATACCGGGAGCCATCACAGAGGCCCTGACTGACCTGGGAGTGGATCGTCACTTGATGATGCTCATAGATCAATTGCTCACATGCAGGACAGTGACATCATCAATGGGATCGTCCACTCAGTCTAGGTATGTCAACAGAGGCACCCCGCAAGGTGGTGTCCTGTCTCCCCTTCTATGGAACATAGCAGTCAATAAGATACTGTGTGACCTGGAAGGGGGGGGGCTGCAAGGTGGTAGCATACGCGGACGACGTTGCCATTATTTTCTCGGGAAAGTTCCCTCAAACACTCTGCGATCTAATGACCGCAAAGCTCGCGCGACTCTCAGAATGGACAGAGCCGCGTGGACTGGGAATCAATCCCTCTAAAACGGAACTTGTATTGTTTACAACCAAATACAAAATCCCGTCCCTCAACCCCCCAATACTAAACGGATGTAGGCTCTCCTTCAGCGACAGTGCCAGTTACTTAGGGTTGGTAATTGATCAAAAACTTAGCTGGAACCTGAGCATCAAAGACAGAGTGAAGAAGGCTACGATAGCCCTCTACACTTGCAAGAAAGCCATTGGGCTCAAATGGGGCATGAACCCAAGAATAGTCCAATGTATTTACCTGGCAATAGTCAGACCAATACTACTCTACGGAGTCGCAGTGTGTCCCCTATCGAAGGGGACCATCACTAAACAACTGGGCGAGGTTCAGCGCACTGCAGCCCTATGCATCAGTGGAGCTCTGAGCACAACACCAACGGATGCGCTAAATGCTATCCTATGCCTGCAGAGCCTTGACCTTGCAGGTAAGGAGCAGGCAGAAATGGCAGCAATCCGTCTTAGAGACTCTGACCAATGGGTGTCACATCACACCGGTCATGCGTCCATCCTAAATGGAAACAAAATCGTCCCCACAAAAACGGACTACTGCGTTCCGAGGGAGTATACAGATACCCCCTTCGAAACAATCATCCCTCACAGAAACATCTGGCTTGAGGGACCACCTGGTGCAAAGGGAGCCATTCGAATCTTTACTGATGGCTCAAAGCTGGACAACAAGGTCGGAGGAGGAATCTACTCCGAACAGCTGAACATAAGACAGTCCTTCAGGCTCCCGGATCACTGCAGTGTCTTCCAAGCAGAAGTCATAGCGATCAAGGAGGCTTTGAGCTGTCTTCAGGAAATAGCCCCTGCGGCAACTCATATAAATATTTACAGTGACAGCCAAGCTGCGATCAAATCGCTGAATGCGATAACAACAAGCTCGGCCACCGTGGCAAACTGTCGCAAATCTCTTCATGAGATGGCCTATCAGTTCGTCATCAGCCTAATATGGCGTCCCGTTGGTCACCAGGACATTGAAGGCAACTGTATAGCGGACGAGCTGGCCAGAGCTGGCACAACAATCCCCCTTCTCCATGATAAGGAGGATATTCGTATGCCAATGGCCACCTGCAAGCTCAAAATAAAAGAACATTTTAAGCGACTAATAAATGACAGATGGCAAACAGTGCCACTATGTCGCATAACTCGGCAAACATGGCCTAACATTACTAGGAAGCGCACCGATGAGCTTTGCAAACTCAGTAGGAGTAGGTGCAGCTCAGTCATACGCTCCCTTACGGGACACTGGCTAATAGGCACACATGCAAGTAGGCTGGGCGCCCCATATAACGACTTCTGTCGAAGCTGTAGAGATGATGACGAGGAGGAGACTGGGGAACACCTGTTCTGCTCCTGTCCGGCTCTCAGTAGAAGGAGACTGCAATACTTGGGCGCTCCTTTTCTAATTGACATTTCGGACATGTCTACAATCAGTCCCAGACGGATCGCAGGCTTCATAAGGGCATCCGGATGGGATAATGGATAACATAGGGTCTCACGAGGGAGAAGGGAACGTAATATGCGGTATCACAACGGGCCGAAACCGGCCTAGGTGTGTCGGGTCTCTGACAATCCCGACAGCCGCTTCAACCTAACCTAACCTAACCTCCTTGAATTCTCTACCTTCGTTTATGCGGGTCTCGCTAAGCAGTCTGAAACTGATGTAGTCTATAAAACATAATCTCCTTATCCATAAATTATCTCTCATAGGGTTTTCATCTAAACTTATTTTCTGGATTAATGCCTACCTTTGCAATCGTTCTCAGCGTGTCTGTTTTAATAACTCTCTCTCTAGGCCTGTTTCTGTATCGTCGGGGGTACCTCAAGGTAGCCATCTTGGCCCTCTGTTGTTTAATTTGTTCATCAATAATCTTACCAAAATCTTAACTCATTTTCGAGTACTTATGTATGCGGACGATGTGTAGTTATGTTTCTCCTATAGCGACCCCGTGTCGCCGTTTCCAATCCGATCTTGACGCCCTCAACAACTGGTGCTTAATAATCATTCTTCCCTTAACATTTCTAAGTGTAACTTAATAACATTCCATCACAGCAAGCCTTACCTTTTTGATTACAATATCCATAACTGCTCCTTAAAACGCCTTTAAAAAATTTTCTGACTTGGGAATTATCTTTGTACCTAATCTGTGTTATAACTCACACATATCCGCTATTTCGAATAAAGCCAGAGGAGTCCTTTATCAATAGATGGTCTAAGGAGTTCACCGACCCTTATACCACTAAACTTTTATATGTATCCCTTGTCCGGACTATCCTGGAATACGGTTCCTGCGTTTGGTCTCCGAATTATCAAAAATATCAGGATATGAATGAGTGCGTTCAAAAACAGTTTCGCCTTTTTGCACTTCGTAGCCTTAATTGGGACCTCTCTAGACATCTTCCTTATGAGAGTAGGCTCCGGCTCATCGATATCCGCTCTCTCGAAAGCCGCAGGATTTTCCATAGAGTTTTTTTTCTTTACAAACTTCTCGCTGGTGAGGTTGATTCCACTGCCGTTAGTAGGCTTTAGTAGCATCTCTGTCCCTTCTCGCCCGAATAGGCATTACTTTCCGCTGCATTTTCAGCTCTGTCTTTCTAATTACTCTGACCATGAATCTTTCCGTAGCCTTTGCCGTAACTACAATACCTTCTTCCATCTGTTTTCCTTCGCCAAGGAAAAATCAAGGTAAAATCGATGTTAACGAATAACTTACATTAATTGAATCATAACTTAATAGGCTATTTCCTGACTACAACTTGCTGTGAGCTGAACCATAGCGGCTACTTAAGCCAATAAACTAGTCCTATTGGGTTAGGACAATAGCCATAGTCTGGTTGTTCATGTTCTTGTCATAACCACATTAATTTATAATTCGTTAGTTTAACTGCTCATAGTTGAACCTTAGAAAATAAATACAAATACATGGCTGCCAGAGAAGGATGTTAAAGACACGTGCTCTTCAACGAGGGGAGTATGTTCGGCTAAGCGCCGGCCCATGGCAACACAAAGAGCAGTTGAGCATATGTAACTCTCTAGCCCGCCGGGCGCCCGGGGGCGCCCGCCGGCCGGCGCGCCGCGGGTGGTGCCCCGGGGCCCCGGCACCCCCCGCCACAACCAGTTCTGCCATAGAAAAAAAACCATAATTCTTAAAAAAATTGTAAATCCCCATATCTATCAGAAAAAGTCGGTTTGGACCCTTGAGGAAAAAAAAAGTTCGATTTTGTCGAGTAGTGTAAACGTATTTTCGGTTGGCACAGTGACCTGACTGCCACATCATTACAATTGAACTCTCTCAAACCTCTTGTTTTCGCTTAAACACGGTCCAACTCGGGTCTGCCTGTTGTGAATTCTCGCACCATAATCTTCCCACTCGCCTTACATGGCAAATAAAGCAAATACATAATAAAATCGAGCAAACTGTGTTTTGATGTCAATCTAATTTCTATTTCGATCTAAATATACTCCATTGAAAAAGCTCAATAGCTCCACACATAACTTACACAATATTTTATAAGACTGAAACTAGTGCAAAAAATAATAGTTTTACCCTTTTATTCAAATAGTATACAAATTCTGACAAACTTTTTGTATTACAGATATACCATCAAGCCAAAAACCCTCAGGAAAATGGATCAGTGGGCAAGACTATTACAGACTGGATGGTAAAACACCTAAAAACATACGACATGAAATGATTAAACGATTTAACAGTGAAGTCAACAGACGTGCACGGGTTTTTTTAATATCTGCCAGGGCTGGAGGCCAAGGAATTAATCTAATTGGAGCGAATAGAGTGATAATTTTAGACACTTCTTGGAATCCATCCAATGATCAACAAAATATATTTCGAATATTTCGTCTGGGGCAAAAAAAAAATTGCTATATATACCGTCTAATTGCCATGGTATTGTAAAATAAGCCATGAACCTATATACAAATTTTCATTTTGACTTTTTTAATAACTACAGGGCACTATGGAGGAAAAAGTTTACTCTCGGTCTGTTACAAAACAAGCTATGAGTTTTCGAGTAGTAGATGAACAACAAATAGATAGGCATTATAACATGGAAGAATTATCAGAACTTTATACGTAAGTAATAAAATATTTATGAAGCTAAACTACATTTTTTTTTTGCATTTACAATGAGAAACAACGTCTGCTATTTAAGTTTCTGGCTATTTAAGTTTCAGGCCTTCGTATTATTTAGCCTGATTAGGAAACAATGGTCATTTGCACTAAAAAGTTTTGTATTTTCTGGGATAAAACTTAATACAACTTTATCTTGTACGACCACGCATAATATCAATTACACTAGTCAACACGAAAATTAGGCTGTGGCCCAAAATTACTTTTTGTTATAAATTTCGGGGTTTAAAATTTTTTAACGAATTATGGTTTTTTTTTATGGTGTAGTTTTTTTAAAGAATTTTTTCAAATCTGGTATTTTTTTAATATTTTTTTTCAGATGTACTGCTTCTATTTTTCACATAACTTAAGTGTCTTATATTTGGTTGAATAGAACAGTTCTGAAAAGCTGACAAATGCAGCCATAAATCCGACCCAGACTCTTTGTATCTGCAGCTTAACGCCTGGAAGATATTAAGCTTTCAAATTCAAATTTCATAATTTTTTGCGGTTTTTTTTTCGAAATTTTGACTTTAGAAACTCGGTGAAAGTCGAAAAAAAATAATTCTTGGCCAAGTTGTAGATAGACGCATTATTAAAATTGTTCATTGTTCTTTAGAATCTATGGATAACCGGTAAACTTGCAGCCGTTTGACCAAAACGACTCAAAACAAATTTTACCTGGAAAATACCGTCCGGTACGTTGCTTGTCCAATGCCAAAGGAACACGTTCAGGTATTAAAAATTCATCCCCTTTTCGTCTGCTTTGTTTTCAATTGGTAGTTGGGCCCGCAACCTTCCAAAAGGTATTTATTTGTTAATTTTTTAGGTTTGGTTAACGAACTTTAGCTCCAAAGTTTCTCCCTAGATTTTAATGAGCAATACCTTAAACGACGCCTAATTATTGCACATATACACAAAAATATATACTTTTTTCGACTTTTCCTGAGTTTTTAAAGTCAAAATTTCGTAAAACATACCGCACAAAAATGATAATTTTTGCATTCAATGCTTTATATTTCCCAGACGGTAAGCTTAAATCACAAAGTGTTTGGGCTTAACTTCTAGCTGTTTTAATTATCTTTTTGAAATAGAAAAGTTCTTCACAACCAGACGGAAGATACTAGAGTTTTGTGAAAAAAGAAGCGCAACCTCTGAAAAAAGCTTAAAAAAATATCATCAAACCATTTCTAAGCCACAAACCTTTAAGAAAAAGTTGGTTTTTTTCTTTGAGTAAAACTTCTATCGACTAGTGATATTACAGAATTGAGGTTATGGTAACATATTTAATGTCACAACACACACTGACAGTTATTTCAAAGCGTAGACCTACTTAACATACGACAAAAATTTCATAAAATTTCATACTAGTCACTACTTGTTAAAAAAAAATTAAAATTAACGGAAAAAACGAGAAGGAACGTGTGAGTTGCATCTGGGGACGCGACTCTACTTATACCCGTACTCAGTCAGTAGAAATTTTTAGAATTTTAGAATTACAAAAAAAAAAATTTACATTTTACATTTTTTTGATACATTTGTTATCTACATCTACATATATTATGTATATTCTACATCTAACATGAAGATTGTACATGTACCATTTAGATTCTACATATCCTCCGCTAGGGGTTGCTCGCGCACTGAACGCGCCAGAGTGCGCGAGCGAGAAGGAAAATGAGTTGCTTGTTCGTCGGCAGGAGGGGGCAGGGGAAGCGACTGAAAATTAATTTCTTCATTTTGGCTATAATTATGACCCGATCTAATTCAGATTCGGCAATCTGGTAGATATGGTCATTTTCTACGATACTGCGTTTTTAGTTTTATTGTAACTTTAAAATTGTGGATGCCACAGATTTTCGTCCTTTGTGGTGGCGGAAGGGGGCGGGGCGAAATTTTGAAATACACTTGTAGCAGTGTGATATCACATGAGTCTGGAAACCAAATTTGGTTGCCCTAGCTCTTATAGTCTCTGAGATCTAGGCGCTCAACAAGACGGACAGACAGACAGACAGACAGACAGACAAACGGACAGACAGACATGGCTATATCGACTCGGCTTTTGATGCTGATCAAGAATATATATACTTTATGGGGTCGGAAACGTTACATACATCCACTTTTACCACAAATCTAATATACCCCTTAACTCTTTTTTGAGTACGGGTATAAAAATTAAACATCTTATGTCACAAAACACAGTGACAGTTAAATCAAAGTTATACTTGATTAAACGAGAAAGAACGTGTGAGAAATTTGTGAGCTTATGATTTATGTAGAATTTTAAAATATTTTACATTTTTTTGCTACATCTGTCATCTACATCTAACACGTTTATTCTACATCTACAATGTAGATTCTACATCTTCTCTGCGAAAGATTGCGCACTGCATACGGGAGAGTGTGTGCGAGCGAGAAAGAGAATAAGTGCCGTAGTCTCGTTCCGGAGGGGTGGGGGAAGCCACTGAAAATTAATTTCTTCATTCTCGTTATAATTATGATCTGATCTGATTCAGATTCGGCAATCTGGTAGATATGGTCATTGTCTCCGATAATGTGTTTTTCATTTTCTCGTATCTCTAAAATTCTGCTTGCCCCAGATTTTCGTGTGGTTGCGGAAGGAGGCGGGGCGAAATTTTGAAATACACTTGTAACAGTGTGATATCACAGCAGTCTGGATACAAAATTTGGTTGCTCTAGCTCTTATAGTCTCTGAGATCTAGGCGATCATCAAGACAGACAGACAGACAGACATCCACTTTCACCACAAATACAATATACCCCTTAACTCTTTTTGAGTACGGGTATAACAAAATGGCAATGTTGAAGAAAAGTTTAAGATAGTAGTAATATTCAAAATCCTTTTCAACCCATTAATTTTTGTGAATATCGACGCTATAGATGCCGAGTAAAAATTATATAAGTGCGCACTTATGAAATTTTTAAAAAGATTTTAGGGGTATATTGCTCATCCAGACCTACAAATTAATTTTGTCTCGTGCAAATTACATTCAAAAGTTTGTAACTTAAATAACACTACTCGACACAATTGAACTTTTTTTTTCCTCAAGGAACCAAACAAACTTTTTCTGATAGATTTGGGGCTGTAAATTATTTTTAAGAATTATGGTTTACGTTTAAGTATCTTACATTTGGTTGTAATGAACTTTACCATTCTGAAAATCTAAGAAATGCAGCTACTAATAAGACCCAAACACTTTGTGATTTCAGCTTACCGTTTGGTAAGACTTTAAAAACTCAGGAAAAGTCGAAACAAAATTATATCCTGGGTCCTTAATTTTTCTGTGTATAGCTGCATTATTTCGGCGTCGTTTAAGATATTGCCGGTAAAACGGTAAAATGTGATTTTCGGATGGTTGGCTAACCAATTTTAGATGAGCAAAACCTTAAACGAAGCCGACTTTTCCTGAGTTTTTAAAGTCAAAATTTCGTAAAAAATACCGCACAAAAAACCTAATTTTTGCGTTTGAAACCTTTATTATTCCAAGACGGTTAGCTAAAACCATAATGTGCTTGGGTCAAATTTCTAGCTGCATCAATTATCTTTTCCGAATAGCAAAGTTCTTTACAACCAGATTTAATATACTTAAATTATGTGAAAAAAAAGAGCCACCTCTAAAAAAAGCTAAAAAAAAATACCAGATACCAAAATCTTAAAAAATAAGATCTGCCATATAAGCAAAAATATCATCAAACATTTTCAAAGCCCCAAATCTTTCAGAAAAAGATGGTTTGGTTCCTTGAGCAATAATCGTGTCGTGTAGTGTAATAAGAGTCCGAAATACAATCGAACTTCCAAAATTATTATAAATATTATATATGAACTCTTAGAAAATGCTTTTGGAAAATAGTTAGACTTAGAAGTGAGCCTGGGGAAAGTTTGATAATGTTAGTAAAAGCTTATGGAGTCGTAGATACTTTCTTCTTTTTATTATAAACTTTTAAATATCCAAATTTTTTACTTCACAGGTTGACGAAGCCAAAAAAATGTGAAAGAACTATGCCAGTACTACCTAAGGACACTATACTAGCACACTTGTTAAGACAATCGGAGCTTGTTTATAAATACCATGAGCATGATAGTCTCTTAGAAAATAAAGTCGAGCAAGAACTGAGTGAACAAGAAAAAGCGGATGCTTGGGAAACTTACGAAAAGGAATTAGAAGTCAATCTGGGTAATCAGTCAATAGACTGGTTACACTACTCGACAAAATTGAACTTTTTTTACGCTTCGAAACAAACCGATATTTTCTAATAGAGTTGAGACTTAAAATTTTTTTGTATATTATGTTTTTTCTCTATGACAGCATTTTTTATTAAAGAATTTGGAGGTAGTGGTTATTTTCACATAACTCAAGTATCTTACATCTGGCTGTAGTAATTGTTGCCATGCTGAAAAGCTAATATGGGCAGGTATAAATTGATTTCAAGATATTTGTGGTTTCAGCTTACCGTCTAGGAAATATTAATCTTTCAAATGCAAAATTGATGATTTCTGTGCTGCATTTTTTCATAGACATGCATAGACGTATTTTTTAAACCATCTAGTTTTTAGGTTGTTTTTCAACTTAGACACGAATTTAAAAAAAAGTATATTTATTTAATACCGAAATTTTTGCTCTTTGAATTTTCCTTTACTCAAGTTTAAAGCCCATATTTGCGCTTCGGACCCGTTTTGCTTCTACATCAATAACAGTGACGCTAACTCGCACAAATTTTTACATTTATACACGTAAAATATAAGGATTCCAAGTTTTCGACTTTTCTTGAGTTTTTGAAGTCAAAATTTAGAAAAAAAATACCGCACAAAAATTATATTTTTTGCATTTAAAAGCTTATGATTTCCCAGACGGTAAGCTGAAGCTAAAAAAAGTTCGGGTTTAATTTACAGATGCATTCATCAGCTTTTTAGAATGGCATGGTTCATTACATGCCGATGTAAGAATACTTAAGTTATGTGCAAAACTAAAGCTCTACCTAGGAAAATAATTTTAAAAAATACAATTTTTTGTATAATTATTTAAAAAAAGTTCTGACACAGAAAAAAAATGTGATTTTTAAAGCACAAAATCTATAAAAAATAGTTGATTTGGTACGAAGCTGAAAAATGGTGTCGGGTACTGTTACTTATTAATTATATTATATGTATTTTTAATTTTATATTTTTCTCCTTCAGAACAACAAGAAGGATTAAACGCTGAAAAGTAAGCAGGTTTTTTAACCGTTTTGTTAGAAAAAAAAATTGAGTACTGACAATTTTTGTTTTTGCAGAGGTCAAATCAGTATTCCAAGATCAAGACTGTCCTCGTACATAGCTCCTATTCCAAGTCTGGATGTAAGTAGAAATTTAAAAACTATAGAAAAATATTTTAAAAGATTGAATTTGTTACGAAGATAGAACTAAATCACTTCTACGACAGATGGGCCTATCCTGTTTCTATCGCTTTTGGCCCACTTTCTTATCCGATTATATCTGGGAAGCCTCCTAGGCTTACCAAAAAGATATCCAGTGTAAAAAAATAGTTTTACAGTTTCGTAATCAGTGAGCGTTGAACAATCCTCGCTATCATTTCTTAATTCGTCGGCAAACAATGATCAGGCCATGGCCGATCTTTTTGCCAATTTTTCCAAACCACATATTTTCATGAAAGCTACTCTGGTCAGCCGTACCCATACATTTTACCAATGTCAAACGGCATTTTCAGCCCCTCACTGTTTCATGATCTTCGACTAGTTAAGACGGTGTATTCACCAGGTCCTGACAGAGTTCCTGGCTGTGTACTCAGATACTGAGCCGTCGCTCTTTGTGGATCCCTGCTTAAACTATTTACCCTATCCATTAATTCTACTTGCTTCCTTCCAATCTGGAAGGAATCTTTTGTCATACCTCTACATAAGAAATGAAACAAGTCTGACGCAAAGTATTATAAAGGTATATCTAAGTTATCCGCTGTAAAAGCTGTAAGCTGTAAAACTGTTTAGGGTCCTGTGAAAATCGTAGAATTGAGCGTTAAGAACGGAGAAATTTGACCAAGCTATTACATAGCGAGAGAGAGAAGAGGGAGAACCAACTTCTCGAAATTTTTTATAAAGTCTTGATTTTAAGTTTTTTAGACTGGATAACTCTTTGGTAAACCAAGGAGGCTTCCCAGATCTAACCGGACAAGAAAGTGGGACACAAGAATAAAAAAATGTGTCAAGTACATTGTAAAAAATGTTTGTGCCTTTCATAACGTCAGTGCACAAGTACAGAGCGGACCAATAAAAATCCCTAATGAAGTTATTCAGCTTCGTAAACTCGGCTTTACGAAAGCAGCGGACACGTTCAGATAGCCTATCCATTCGATCCAATACAGTAGGGCCAATATCGACTGACACTTCGAATGTAGGATGGTAGGAGTCTTCAGGTATACTGAGCGGAAGGGCTCGGGTTAACAACGCTATGGTCGGATCCGAGACAAAGCACAGATCAAGCAATCGACCCAAGGAATTTTTCACATGGTTGACTTGAGACAGGGATAGGTCTAGCAAGCCGTCGATAAAGTCATGTCGTGACATGGGCACAAGGTTATTAGACTCGTTTACGGAAGACCAAACAGTACCTGCCAAATTGAAATCACCAAGAACTATCATATGGTCTTTATCTGATAGCGAGGAAGAAACAGTTTTTAAAGCGGACAGGTGATGCTCGTATATTAAGATATCCGAGGAAGGTGGAATATACGAGAAAGTAATGAAAATGGAAAAGCCTGGGAGAATCAGTTTTACGCACAGGAATTCCAGGTCTTGTTGAACCTGGACCATGAAATGTTCCGACGTGAAGTTTGAGTCCACTGCAATAAGGACGCCACCTCCACGTCGAGACGAACGGTCATTTCTAAAAATTGTGTACCGACCTGCCAAAACTTCGGAACTAAGGATGTCCGGCTTTAACCAGGTCTCGGGGAACACAATAACGTGGGACGAGAATGCTAGACTCTCAAGGAAAAGAGTGCTGAGCTTACTACGCAAGCCTCTAGCATTCTGGTAGGTAAGTTTAGTTAGTTAGTTTTTTGGATGGGTGGAAGTAGAGGTGGAAGATGAGGATGGAGATGGAGCACTGGTCTGAATGCTAGGAAGAGTAATGGGGGGCCTATTCTTTTTCTTTGCCTTAAACTCTTTAACCACCAAATGCTCCGGCCAAAACTTGGCGGAACAAATGGTTTCAAATTGAGTTGACGAGACGCTTATCTTGAAGGAATATATCTCCCTGGCGTAAGAAAAGATAAATTTTTCCACCTTTAAGACGACGGCTTTTATTTTGCTTTGTATAAAAGCGGTCACATCACTGGATGTGAGGTCAGGGGCTAGCCGCGAGACAAAAACTTGTCGCTTTGGTGGGACTCCCACCAGTGGTTTTGGCACCACAGGCCTAGTACCTGTAATGCCAGTATCCGGTGGTCCTGGACATCTATTAGGTGGTGGGAGCGAAACTGATGGGATAGTTAAGGACATGGGTGCGGACTCGACGGATACGGACGCTACAGACATGTCTACCTGCATACTCTCCGAAGTGACGCATTCGGCTCTCGAATCTGCATCACCAGCAGCGATTGTTGCCCTTGGAGTAGCAAACGTAATCAACTGCTGCACTAAGGGAGTGGTCGGAGTAAGTTTTTCGGTTGCTAAAGCGAAATCGGTAAAAATAAGATGAGAGTGGAGAGTGGTTGCAGCAACAGCTTATAAGTAAGAATGTTACTGCACAGAAAGAGGGCGTACTTACGAAATGCAGCAAAACAAACACACGACTAACCGACGCACAAAATTAATTAAATAAGTTGTGTTTTTACACAATTATTAGCCATGCACCCGCGGTAAAGATTGATTTTAAGGTAAGTTAGTTAGAGAGTTAATTTAAAGATAAAACACCGGCTATTTAAGTAAAATAAAAGGAAAGTGCGGAGCGTAAATCAAAAACACGTCTGGTCACTACGAAGGAGAACGAACGATATCTCCTTCTTCATTTCGCTACACCTATACACCCCATATTTCGCCTTCTAATAACAAATAAATTGTACACATATAAACTATATCGAATCCGCTCGACTTCTTATTTAATCTAAAACAACAGCTAGTGAAAAATCTCGCTAGCTCACTAGTTCTGGGGTATATCTTTCGGTTACCGGAACATTACAAATTTAAATTTAAAGTCAGTTGAAAATTTAGACTTTCCTATTCCAAGCAAGCGGAGCGGGCTTCTCACCCTTTTCAGTTTCAAAGTGCTGGCCAAACTGTCGGTTATAAAATTGATTTGGGAGCCTGAATCCATTAGTACCCTTGCTATCTGGTAATCTCCAAGGCGGCCTTTTATTTTTACAAGGGCTGTGGCTAAAACTACTTATACTGAATTCAACGACCGCGCATGGTTGATTTGGAGCACCTTCGAAAAATTTTAGGCACTCATTATCATATTTACTCTTCTTAGTAGTGGATATTATGTGGTAGAGGGAATTGAAGTCCGAGCAAAGGACCCTAAATGGTTCGTGCAAGGAATAACTCGATCTACAAAACGGAAGGAACAAAGGAATGAAGTTTCTAGTAGATCTAATAGGAATCGTAAAGTTTATGCGGCTCAACAAGTCACGGCTATCTACGTCACCCTTGATCAGGTTGTGCATAAAAATCACACCAAGCATTTTTCTACGACTAACTAAGGTTGGAAGGTTTATTAAAAGCAATCTACGAGGGTAAGATGGCAGTCTCACACCTGCATCCCAGTTAAGGCCATGCAGAGCACAAAGTAAATAGTTATTTTGGACTGATTCTATACGGTCCTGGTGTACTTTGTACTGGGGGCACCATAAACAAAAGCCGCACTGTAAAATCGGCCGAACAAGCGAGATATAGAGAGTCTTCGTTATATAGTGGTCGTCAAATTCCTTTGACCACCTCTTTATAAATTCAAGCACTCCCATGGCCTTATTCACAATGGTAGATATGTGGAGTCTAGTTCAACGCCAAGATCATCCACCAAGGTAATTCTCTCAAGAGCACCGCCGAAGAGGGTGTAAGGAGCCAACAAGGGGCTGGAGCGATGAAATGTCATTACTTTGCATTTCGAGGCATTTAGGTGTAACATATTTGCACAACACCATGACTGAAAGTTATTGAGATCGGATTGCAAGCGAGATTGAAATGAAATTTCCTTATACTCGACACAGAGTTTAACATAATCCACATACATTAGTACTCGAGAGTTTGTTAATACTGAAGGCAGGTCATTAGTAGGGTGAAATGGTGAAAAGTAGGGGGCCCAGATGGCTGCCCTGTGGTACTCCAGAAGTAACCTTTACAGGTGAAGAGGAGTTTTTAAAGAGGAATCTTTGAAACCTAGAACGAAGGTAGCTAGAAACCCATCTCAAAAGATTAGGCTGATGTTGGTTGATTTGAGGATGTTTGACATTGAATTTTTTGCAGGTGTCGCTTCTGATTGGTGAAAACGGGATAGAGTGTTTCTGACGTAATTGGATGGCTCTGTCGACTGTGCTAGGATATTTGCATTTTCTTTTATAGTTTTTTGAAAGGGTGTGAAGTGTAGTGTCTTTTGCATGGATGAGGTTTTTGGATAATTTGCCTGTTAGGAAGTCTCACTTATTTTCAATCGCGTAAATGTTGGCTTCAGCATGTTATTTATGGGTGTGTTAGGAAATGCTCCTCTCTAAATGCTGCATTGAGGATGGGTTTTCTAGGCCAGTGTTCCGCAAAGCGTGTGCCGCGGAACACTGGTGCACCGTGGTCATCGGCTGGTGTGCCGCGGAAAAAATATTAAATAGGAATACAGAGAATATAGTTAATTTATTATTTAACCAGTCAATCACAACTCTTGTACGAATAGTAACTAACAGTTAATTTGAATACAAATTATATTAAGAACATGATTTTAAATAAGAAAATTTTTTATTAGGGTATCCATGTCAATAAGTAATGATATTTGAAATACATACGTATCCAAGCATGCATAAGTATGCATGTATGTATGTGTGCTCAGCAAACGAGCTGCCTGATATTTTGATTACCGAAACTAGGGTTGGGGCACGAAAATACTTTTGGTATTTAAGCTGTTATTTAATATTTAAAACATAGTACTCAGATCGAAAAAAACACCTCGCGAACAGAATCAGGGTTGATATTCGTATGAAACCGATAAGAAATATTTTACGGCAACAACTGTTTTCTAGGCTCTGTACGGAAGGCAATACTCAGATCAAAAAACAAAAAGGTCGGTATATACTGGAAAAGTATCCGAAGTATATGCTTGTTTTTTTGGTATGTTTCGACCCACCTCGAAAAATATATCACTTTGATTTCTTTTGCCAGCAAACACGAAGCAAACATTGCAATAAGAGAACAAAAAACCAAATGAAATATTTTAATAATGAAGAAAAATAGAATCTAATTAATGCAGTATTATATGAATGACAATTATATGGATATTATAATAAAATATTTTTATTAATTTTCATAAATATAAAACAAATATTGCTTTCAAAAGAGTTTGTCTTCACGGTGTCCGGCACGGGAGGCTTTGCCGTGCCAATAAAATATTGGGGAGCCCAGGATTTGCCTGTGGAAGAGCAGCCCCAGCCGAAGAAGTGCATTTTATTAACTTTAAACAAAACCAAGCAGCGGTCTGAGCAGTGTAACCGTTCGGAGTGCACACCTATGGTCACACACTGGCCGCTCGAAGAATATATG